GTGTTTAAACACAGTTGTATATATTTGAAGGAGATTACTCAAACACTTTTGGTTCAGCATACGTGTTTACAGGACTGGGATTTGAATACCTATCTTTTTCTCTTTTAATCAAACTTTCAAAACAAACAAGTGTTCAACTAGAATTTTGGAAGTGTCTTTGGCTGGTTTCCTTTCCACCAAAACAAATACTTCCTCCTTTCATGGCTCTTTGAAATCAATATTCCTAAAAACCTGGATACTTGCCAAGTGTAGGCTGCGTTCTCTGAATAGCATGCATTCTTACTAGTTTGCATTGTTGTAATGTTTCGCTTTGGTTTAGTCTGTTCGTCTCCTCATTCAGTGCCTTCCAGCTTATTCTGCTGTCCTTTGTGGGACGTGTGTGCTTCCCTTCCTCACATGATATTGCTACCTAACCGGCAGGGGTTAGAATGCCCCAATGATACAGTGCACAGTGGTGAGACTGGTTATTATTGGTTAAGTTCTCATGGGCCGTGTCCAGACTCAGGGGTTTTTTCAGGAAAAGTAGCCTTTTCCCGAAAAAACTTCCCCTGCGTCCAGACTCAAGACGCGTTCTTTCGAAATTATTTCGAAAGAACGCGGCTTTTCTTTCGATGGCGGTAAACCTCATTTCACGAGGAAGAACGCCTTCTTTCGAAAGTTCCTCTTTCGAAAGAAGGCGTTCTTCAATGTAAAGAGGCCGTCTTCGAAAGAGAGCATCCAGACTCGCTGGGTGCTCTCTTTCGAAAAAGCGGATTTCTCTTTCGAAAGAAGCCTGCAGTCTAGACATAGCCATGGTGAGGCTATGTAAAGTAGGCTATGTCTAGACTGCAGGCTTCTTTCGAAAGAGGCTCTTTCGAAAGATGCTTTCGAAAGAGAAATCCGCTTTTTCGAAAGAGAGCACCCAGCGAGTCTGGATGCTCTCGTTCGAAGACGGCCTCTTTACATTGAAGAACGCCTTCTTTCGAAAGAGGAACTTTCGAAAGAAGGCGTTCTTCCTCGTGAAATGAGGTTTACCGCCATCGAAAGAAAAGCCGCGTTCTTTCGAAATAATTTCGAAAGAACGCGGCTTGAGTCTGGACGCAGGGGAAGTTTTTTCGGGAAAAGGCTACTTTTCCCGAAAAAACCCCTGAGTCTGGACACGGCCGTAGAGACAAAGGTCCTAAAGGAGCTTATGTTCTGTGTAGCTGGACACTGCAGGAAAAGGGTCTACTGTAGAGTTTAAGACTTGGTCTGGAAAGGGTCTTCCCTTTTGTGCCTCCAAAGAACTGTGAGCACAGACAAGGGAATGTAGACATCCAGCTACTCTCTTGTGGACATAGTTATCATGTAGCTGGACAGCTGCATACCAGTGTGCAGAGTCCAAATTCACTGCCTTACGGGGTGGGTTGATTTGTTAATGAAAGAGTTTGGCAATGCACAAAGTTCAGCTCTAGGCTTTTCTCCAGGATTGGCTCCTCTTACAGGTTCCTCCTTCATACGTGTTCAGTCCACACCCTAGATCATCTCTCCCTCCAAAGGTCACTCCCAGCTACCTCATATGCAGGTGGGCTAATGAGTCATCTGCCTTGCTCAGTCAGCGGAACCCCATGTAACAGTTTTTGTCAGCCGGCTGAAATCTGCTTGGGACAGATCAGGCAAGCACTTCCAGTCTGCAACTTGTGCCTGTAAATTTGCACCAAAGGGCAAAAACGTGAAGCTGGTTTGTAGGTTTTGAGGGATGACTCTGGGTGACGAGGGGTGACTCCTCGCCAGCTGTCAGCCCTGCACAGAGTGCACCGTGCGGGGCTCTGGTGGAGATTTAAAGGGCCCCAGACTCTAGCCGCCACTGCTGTTGCAGTAGCAGGCCCCTTTAAATCACCGGGCCCTGGCACAACTACCCGCACCCCGATCGGCGACCCTGAGGAGGCAACCCAAGAGATGCTGCAGAGCAGACTAGGTTAAACCTTTGGAGGCTGGTGCATAGAAGCCAGATCCTTGGCTGGTGTAAACTGTCATAGCTCCATTGAGTTCAGCTGAGTGGCAACTATTTACACCAAGGGAGAATTTTACCCTCAGAGTATTGGTACTGGTGCATGGTCATGGTTGACAGGCCCCTCACGAGCCTTTCAAGCCCTTTAGTCTGCAATCCCGGGGTGGTGGCGTTTATTGCTTTTCAGCTCCCACCCTGCCAGCAGGAAGCCTTTGGCAGAAACTCTGCCTAGCACCAGATGGTAAATGACCACACTGTAGTAATATACAAATTGCACTACCATAACCTGCACACACTTACAGACAGAAGCATCCGATTTCTCCATAATCCACAAAAGTGAACTGGAAACTGAAACATTCTGCCCAGAATTGCTGTGATTTGCATCAGGCATTTACAAAGCCCAAACTTCTGTTTGATTTGACTCCACGGAGCTAAACAAGAGTCTGTACTGCAAGTAGCCGGGCATAAGATTATAGACGCTTCTCTGTTCAATAGGAAGAATATAAAATATGTTTGTTCTGTTTTATCTCATTTATTTCAGTGGCGGTTTTCTTAAGCTTTTGTTTGAAATGTTTGCTTTTATGTATAACTTGAGAAACTGAACAGACTCTTAGTATCACTGCTTACTGAATTCTCTCTCTCTGTCTCTCCTCCTGCCTCCCACAATTCTTCAATGCCCGGAATGCTGCTCTTTCTTTCTAACAGTACTCACGCTGTGTATCTTTCTATCCCATCTCCAGTCACCAGCCTCTGTCATTACTGTACCTTGCTCAGACTTCCCCCCTCATTAGCTTGTCTGCCACAGCACCTCTCATTCTGCTCCCCATGGAACTGTCAGCTTTAGCATAATGATCTGTTTCATTTTTGTTTTGACCATAATGCAAATTCTGGCCCTAGCTCTGTTGCTGTTGGTTTTCCCCAGGAAATTCGTTTCTTTTTGATATCACTTGTCATTTCATAGATGGTGTCTAGGGCCAGCATCTCCTTAGGGGTGCCTTTTTCTCCGTTTTCCTCCCCATTGCTACGGAACTAGTGCAATTATCCTGTTTATTTTCCATCTGCGTTAGCCTTAGAATTTTCCTCTCTGCAGTCTCCACTGCTTTTTCAGTCATCAGTTGCAGGTGTGTGTCTCACCCTGCTGCCTAATAAATGCACAACAGAGTCCCTTTTCTCCAGCAAGGTACAACTTTTGCCCCTTCCTCCTGCTCTTTTCTTCCCACTGCAGCATGGAAGCGGAGTCTGGCAGGGAATCAAAGCCCATGCAGGGTTGGAATCTCGCTGTTATACTTACTTCACAGCACTGGTTAAGAAAGGCAGTTTTCAGAATTTCCTTCCAGCCGTCTTCCCTTGCCTATGCCATTTACCCTCCTTTGTTAGCCAGTCATACGTTTAAGGACTCCGGACTTTCTTTGTCCCACACGGGGAGATTTCTAGTTCCTTGTTTCACATGGTGTCGCAGGTGATTATGTGTCTGTGTCTGAATGGTTGCAGTATCTCTCCTGAATGCCTGTGGCAGACTCCCCTGAAAGAGAAATGAACCGTTCCATCTTGGCTAAGAGAGAAACTTAAAAAACAACAAATGGTCTGGTAGCACTTGATCTGGTAGCAAATGTTCTGTGCCCACGAAAGCTCATGATACCATCTCCATGTTTTGTTAGTCTATAAAGTGCTACCAGACCATTGTTGGTTTTTAAGTTTATCCTGTAGAGCTACCCCCTGAAGCTTGGAAAATGAATGAGCAAATAAGGGTGTTGTGCACCCAGTGTGTAATTAAGCCCCTGTGTGGTTCTCTGCACCATTTCTCACCCATGACCACAGGTCAAGATTGAAGCGCGTAGCTCTTGGGTTGGTTCAGTGCACGAGGGTAAATTTCACTCTACGGCTACGTCTACACTGGCATGATTTTCCAGAAATGCTTAAAACGGAACAGTTTTCCATTATAAGTATTTCCGGAAAAAGCGCGTCTACATTGGCAGGATGCTTTTCCGGAAAAGCACTTTTTTCCAGAAAAGCGTCTGTGCCAATGTAGACGCGCTTTTCCGCAAAAAAGCCCCGATCGTCATTTTCGCGATCAGGGCTTTTTTGCGGAAAAGAAATCTGTGCTGTCTACACTGGCCCTTTTCCGGAACAGTTTTCCGGAACACTGACGATCTACTGTAAAATCATCAGTGCTTTTCCGGAAAAACTATGCTGCTCCCGTTCGGGCAAAAGTCCTTTTCCGGAAAACTGTTCCGGAAAAGGGCCAGTGTAGACAGCACAGATTTCTTTTCCGCAAAAAAGCCCCGATCGTCATTTTCGCGATCAGGGCTTTTTTGCGGAAAAGAAATCTGTGCTGTCTACACTGGCCCTTTTCCGGAACAGTTTTCTGGAAAAGGACTTTTGCCCGAACGGGAGCAGCATAGTTTTTCCGGAAAAGCACTGATGATTTTACAGTAGATCGTCAGTGCTTTTCCGGAAATTCAAGGGGCCAGTGTAGACAGCTGGCAAGTTATTCGGGAAAAGCGGCTGATTTTCCAGAATAAGTGGCCAGTGTAGACACAGCCCACGTGTCTTCAGCCTAATACCAACATGTTTTGTGTTAAAGTTAACTGTATCCTGGGTAAAAGGGCTTCAGTGTAAACAGCAGTGTGTCAGAGCAACGATAGCACGTTGAGAAAGGTGTTCTGTAATTCACACAGCCCAAACTCCAACAGCGCCTTTAAGAATGTGCTTAGCTTCATGCATTTGAATAATTCCGTTGCGGTGAATGAAACTATTCATGATGCTTAAGGTTAAGCATGTGCCTAAATACTGTGCGGAACCGGGGCCGATTTTATGCCACCTGGTCATGTCTACGAAGTTCTCGTAGCAATCTTTATCTGCCAGTGAGATCTGGGTGCCGGTGAGATCCCAGAGAAGATCCATATTGGTATTTACAATGCTATTCCCGGGATTGGTGCTGTTTGTGAATACTGTGCAAAGGAACTAATGAGAACCAGCACTCATTGCTCTCTCTCTCTCTCTCTTTCTCTCCTTTGAACTTGTGCTGTAGCCCCTAGACGGATAACCTCACTGGAAAAAGCTTACGCTGCTTTGAATGGTACGTAGCTCAGCTGATGCATTGTAGATGGTAGCAGACAAGAAATGTATCGGTATGTTTTTAATAAGGGATGAATGCTGCCAAAAACCCTCAAAGGTGCAGGTGGTTTTTCCCTGCCTTGCACTGCTTCCCCTGTGGCCCCAAGAGGAAAATGAAGACAAGAGGCATTTAACAGTATTGTGTATCTAGGATATGCATTTCCAAGCACCAGATACTGAAGTTCCTAGGTGTCCATGCTCTAGGCAAACTGAGCTTAGCTCTTTGATGCTGTCCAAGTGATTAATTATTGAAAATCTTATTGTGCAGTTCACACACATTCTCTTAGTATTTATTTACTTAAATTGTTGCATATGCTGGGTCATCGCCTCAGCTGGTATAACTCCATTGACTTAATGTGTGTAATAATTTACTAATATAAACACGAACTTGCATAATTTTTGTGTATTATATTGTAAGGCATGTCTCCATGGGCTTCAGTGGAACTACATTTATCTACAGCAAGTGGAAACTGGGTCCTATGCAACTGCATGTTAATTACATGCTCCTGCATATTTTTAATTACACACAGGTAGATACGCTGAAGGGCAGGGATAGAGTCCAGAGTGACCTAGACAGATTAGAAGATTGGTCCAAAAGAAATCTGATAAGGTTCAACAAGGACAAGTGTAGAGTTCTGCACTTGGGACGGAAGAATCCCGAGCATTGTTACAGGCTGGGGACCGACTGGCTAAGTAGCAATCGGCAGAAGACCTGGGTTTTACAGTGGATGAGAAGCTGGATATGAGTCAACAGTGTGCCCTTGTAGCTGAGAACGCGAATGGCATATTAGGTTGCATTAGGAGGAGCATTGCCAGCAGATCTAGAGAAGTGATTATTCCCCTTACTTCGGCTCTGGAGTATTGTGTCCAGTTTTGGGCCCCCCACTATAGAAAGGATGTGGACACAGTGGAGAGGGTCCAGCAGAGGGTGACCAAAATGATTAAAGGGTTGGAGCACATGACCTATGAGGAGAGGCTGAGGGACTTGGGTTTGTTTAATCTGCAGAAGAGAAGAGTGAGGGGGGATTTGAGAGCAGCCTTCAACTTCCTGAAGGGAGGTTCCAAAGAGGATGGAGAGAGGCTGTTCTCAGTAGTGAGGGATGGCAGAACAAGGAGCAATGGTCTCAAGTTAGTGGGGGAGGTCTAGATTGGAAATTAGGAAAAACTATTTCATTAGGAGGGCGGTGAAGCACTGAGATGGGTTCCCTAGGGAGGGGGTGGAATCTCCATCCCTAGAGGTGTTTAAGTCTCGGCTTGACAAAGCCCTGGCTGGGTTGATTTAGCTGGGATTGGTCCTGCCTTGGGCAGGGGGCTGGACTTGATGACCTCCTGCAGCATCTTCCAGCTCTATGATTCTTTGACAATTATTCCACATTTAATTGATGTAATTGAGATCAGAATCTGGCCACACTCTGACAAGAAGAATCATGGACTTCTCCTTTATAGTTTAGGGTCAGTGTCTGATATCTTTGTGCATGCTGATGGCCTACTTTGCTGTATTGTTCCTTTTGAAATGAACAGGACCATTGTCCAAGTAAGATACAGCCAAATGTGGTACTAAGTGTTTGGTAGCGAAATGGCTGACAGCTCTTAAGTAACCATAAAGTAAAGACAGTACATACAAGATGTGCACTCTAACCTCTTATCCAGCCTTTTAAGTACCAGTGTTTGCTAACTTGAGCTTCGTGAAGTTTGCCAACAGATTTCACTTGCCCTGGTGATGATATTGTGTTTATAATTGACTCAGTTCATGTAGGTATTCTTGGGGTTTTAGACTTTTTCCCCTTCCTTTTTTGGGTGCATTCAGTGGAGGTACAAGGTGCTAGGTTAACACTACTTCATAGAAAGGCCTATTTCTCCCCAGACAGCTAAAAAGCTGCCGAGCTGGCTTCTCCCTCAGCCCTCCTCTCCTTCGCAGAAGGGGCCACCGGTAGGTGTGTGAAAGGAAATTCATTCTCCTGGCCAATGAAGTTCTCAGCTGAGTCCACCAGCCCAGGTGTTCATTGTGGGGGGTGTTCATTTGCAAATAGCCTAGACATTTGCGCACTAGGAACTGGACCAAAATTGATTAAATCACTTCACGTAGGGTGCCAAGCAACCCTGTGGCGGTTCTTGCTGCTGACCTGAGTTGAATTCAAGTCAAGTGGACGTGAAAGGCTCCCTCTCCTATTGCCTCTCCCCTGGGGAATTAGACTGTCCATGTCTGCACAGGGGACAAACCAACAAGTGTCATGAAGCTGGATAACCTTTTTATTTCAGTGCCTGCCGGCAGGTTTGGAATCCTAACCGTAGGCACCCACTCGAGGAAAGACACATTTTGGCCACCAGCTTTATTTGCTTTCCTTTTTAAAAAAAAGTCCATTAAAAATGATAGTGCTGTGCCGTGCCAGGAACGTTTGTATAACGATGCTTTGCTGTGCAGTATCGAGACCTCCGAGTGCAATGCTAGTGGTTTTCTTGAGTCAATTATATTACAATATCAAACATACAAAAAGCCAAATACAGTTCTCTCCTGCCCACTTACACCTAGAGAATGAACATTGTGCCTGGAAAAATGTCTGGCTAGAGCCATCTGCAGACTTGAATGAGAAATAGAGGGATTGTTTCCAAACCCAGTACTGGTGACTATTAATATTGTTAAAAGAAACTTTACGAGAATTTTACAATTAGTGAAAGCCCTGCATTCTCCTCTATTTCCTCTCTGGCTTCTCTGTTGTACATGCTCCGTTTGATTTTCCCCCACGTCTGGTTTGAGTCACTGGTACAATCTAGGAACCTCCCACCACCAAGAGAGCAGCCCCAGCATAGACAACTTCAGACCTTTCTCCTTTGAGAGTCACTTGGAGGATTAGTGAAAAGGCAAAAGCTTCAGCATTTTAAATCCCAGAGAAATGCAAATGCCGTAAAGTGAGTCACTAAGAATAAAAACCCATTTGATGTTGATATTTCTTTCTTTGTCTGCTACCATCTATACATCCGTATGCCCAGGAAACAGCATAAATGACAGGAAAGTCACAGAGGGAATAGGCAGGGATGTGCATGTGTTAAGAGTTGATGAGCCTACTACAACCCTGGCTAAAACACACGCCTACTATAATTGGAGAGCAAAAGAGAAATTCTTGTGACCGTCTTTCTTGAAATAAATTCCGTGTGGCCAATTTTTGGCATGTTGCTTTCAAGCTTCTTCATTGTGGTCGCTGAATACAAGCTGCTACATGCTTGGCCTCGGGCTTCTTTTTAAAAGGAACTCCTCGGTGTCTGGCATCTAGAGCTACAGTCTCCCAATCTCAGCAGCTCAGAGAATCTTTTATGAGGCTGAGCCCCGGTGCTTCAGGTGCTGTGCATGAGATAGTCAGGAACCAGGATGCTCCATTGCCAGCTCTGACGATTCTATTGCCAACCTCACGCTGCTTGATGTTTTTACTTAAAGCTCCAACTCCTGGAGGCATGAGCATCTCAGCTCGCATTAAAAACAAAGTGCTTGGAAGTGTGCCCTGGGTGGGACACCTCCCAAAGGAGCAGAAACCGAAGACGAAAGAAAAACAGCAGCAAAAATCTCCTGGTTGTTCAGATGGTCTCATGACTTTGGGAGCCTAACTCGGGGGTTTTGACTGTTTGACAGTGGCAGTATTGAAGACACCAGTTCTGAGGTGGTTGGTAAACAAGCTGGGAGAAGGCCAAGCACACGAGCCAGGGTTCTGAAGATGTTGCTAAAACAATTCAGGCCTTGATTCCGCCACGCCCTTCAGCATGTGCTGAGACACTTTGCAGTGTTCAAAGCCGCTGTCAATGTCTGTGCTCCATGGCTGTGGAGTCAGATGGATAGGGGCCGTGGGTAACCTGCTGATGTACCTGTGCAGTACGCAATGTGGTTTCCTTTCAACACTGCATTGTTTCCTACCAGAGTATTCAATCTTGCAGACACTAATGGCAGCTGACTCTCCTCGCTTAAATATTAAGGCCAATACCCAATCTTAGGCTTTGTCTACAATGAAAAGATTAAAATGGAGCCGCGGCAGCGCTTTAAACTGCAAGTGAGGCCATGGCCCGAGCACTGGGAGAACGCTTTGTGTAAACCCCCTCCGCGAAGGGAGTAGCTAACAGAGCTGGGAGCACGGCCCCTGGTGCTGTAGCCTGGTTCACACTCACTTTACTGCTCTGTAACTTGCTGCGCTCAGGGGCCGGGGTGTGATTTATCACACCTCTGAGCCAGAAAGTTACAGCGCACAGTGCCAGTGTAGACTTGGCCACAATTGCTAACTAGGAAGAGTCTGTCTAACAAAGATATTATTGGAGGGAGTTAACCGGGAATAGGGGTCCTCTAACATGGTTCCCGACCATGAAGCCCTTCATTTTGCTTGATTAGTCAGAATGTGCAGCTTGAGAGGAGCACTTTAAAGAAACTTCATTCCCTGAGCCTAAAAACACCATTTCTGCAGGCCAGGGAAATGAAGTGTTGAGAGTTGTTGCAAACTCCTATCACTATCTGTAACAACAGACCGCTGGACTGGACTGCTCCTATACCTGGGGTCACCCGGAGAGGACTCTAGTACTGTTTGCAAGTGTACTGCATCTCTTTGGATGTCACTGACAGGTCCTGCTCCGATTTTATATCACCCCTACACAAACACAGCGGCGACGTCTACACTGGCATGATTTTCCAAAAATGCTTTTAACGGAAAAGTTTTCCGTTAAAAGCATTTTCGGAAAAGCACGTCTAGATTGGCAGGACGTTTTTCCACAAAAGCACTTTTTGCGGAAAAGCGTCCGTGGCCAATCTAGACACGGTTTTCCGCAAAAAAGCCCCGATAACCATTTCTGTGATCGGGGCTTTTTTGCAGAAAACAGTACTGTGCTGTCTACACTGGCCCTTTTGCACAGAAGTCTTTCGGAAAAAGACTTTTGCCCGAACTGGAGCAGCATAGTATTTCCGGAAAAGCACTGATTTCTTACATGAGATCGTCAGTGCTTTTTCGGAAATTCAAGCGGCCAGTGTAGACAGCTGGCAAATTTTTCCAGAAAAGCGGCTGATTTTCCAGAAAAACTGGCTAGTCTAGACACAGCCAACCATGTGTAAAGTACCATAACAAAACAGCATATTTTACAAGCCAGCAGGGTTGCCAACCCACAGAAATTTCATTTACGGACAAAATGGGAAAAATTTATGGACAAATTTTTAACAGACATAATTTTTATACTATATTAAGACGACATAAATGGCCAAAGTGAAAAGTAATCGTTGTCATTCATACATCACAATTTAACTCACTTTCATTTAGTTAGTCATGGTCCTGGAAGTTTTCCATTTTGTGATCGTACATCTGATTCACGTTATGTCACCTCAACCATTGAGCTATAATAAACAATTAAAACATCCAATTTCTGCTGTAAAATGGCTGAAGCAGCACAGAAGAAATTTAATTCCCATAGAATAATTGCTGGTTTTTGAAATGTTATTGCACTTTTATGACATTTACAGACTCCTAAATTTTTTTGTGAACTTTACGGACGTATCCAATTTTGGCTACTTTTTGCGGACTGTCCATAAATTTACTGATGGTTGGCAATCCTACAAGTCAGAAATGAGATTACAAAGTGTATTGCATCTTACTTCAGCCAGAAACAACAGGATTCATGGTCTAGATGGGGCTTGGTCCTTCCATGAGTGCAAGGGACTGGACTTGATTACCTCTTGATGGTCCTTCCAGTTCTGGTTCATGTGGAGGGGTGATATGAAAGGCCACTCCTGTGCTAATACTGCATCTACCTTACTGTATTCGAAACAACGTCCTCTCTCGTGTCAGCTCACTGGAGCTATCCCATGCCCAGATCACTGTATCTTACCGTGACCAATTAACTGTTTTAGACACAGAAGGGATGTTTCATAGATCAGCAGGCTCTGTGCATGTGGGAATGTCTGTGCTGATCCACATTCATTTACCTGTGATCCCAACTGCCCTCCTCTCTAGTTGTGCACTTGTCAAGCCAGCAAATATCTTCCAGGAGTAATTTAACTGTAAGCCTGCAGAGAAAGTAATTTCAAGAGGATGGCTCTCTATTAGGAATACATGAGTACACTTTCCACTAGGTAGCCAGAAAGAATGCAGCTGAAGTGAATGACAATATAATCTTAACAGATATCCAACCCAATTCATTGCTCTGTTTTATAGCTGTAAGAACTGTCTTCTGATTTGGTGAAAGACAGTGAGTGTGCGTACAGCGCTCACAGCTAACTGTTTGAATTGCAGGGAGGAATGGAAAAAGCTGATTGTGGATTTATCACCAGGATCTGTAAGTTTCAGGGTGGGAAATGATTGCAGAGATCACGTTCTGTGAACCACTGACTCTAAGGATGCTGAATTGCAGCAAAAAAGTCTTAACTAAGTGAGGCTACATCTACACTGCAACGCTATTTCAGGATACCAGAGTATCTCGAAATAGCTATCCCGCATCTTCACAGCAAGCCTGTTAGTTTGGGCTCACTAGTCCGACGTCCCAGCAAACCTCATTCTATGAGGGGTAAGGCACATTTCAGAATAGCGCTTTATTTTGAAATGACAAAATACGTAATTTTGAAATAAGATATGCAATTTGCGTTGCTCAGATTGTGTATCTTATTTTGCGTGATGGTGCAATGTAGATGCACCCTGACTGTGTCAATAACCCGAAAGAATAAAGAAAAGTCAAGTTGGGCATGATGAGGATAATTTTAAAAGGCTAGGAAGGCCAGGCTGACTATATGGTACGTTATAAAACAACCCTGTACTTAGGAGCTTTGCTATCAAAGTGCGCTCTCAGTCTTTTATATCCCTTATGGGAGTATTTGGGACTTAACGGGCCTGCATTTCCATTGCTTTCCTTACTGTGTTGTCATTTACAGCCTTGCAAAGTGGATGTAAAATGCTATTGTCCAAGTAAGTGCATAGCAAATGCAAGTTTGGCAGCATATTATACCCACCCCACACTTATATAAAAAATAACACAAGGTTCAAAGCAAGGAAGAGTGGTGTCAGAAATCTATTGTGTCTTGGATGCAGCAGCTGCACAGCAGTGAGATGACATGTTCTCTAGACCTTCCCTTGTTATGGATTGTGCTGGAGGGTGGAACAAAGAGGGCTACATGATCCCTGTATGTTCTCGTTACAGATGAGGATGATGCAAACCGGCTTGGAGAAAAGGTGATTCTCCGAGAGCAAGTCAAAGAGCTTTTCAATGAAAAATACGGTGAGTTGCCCCTTTCCAGGTTCTTATGGAGAGCAGCTAGAGTTAAAATTAATCAGGCTAAGTGCTCTATTTATGGACCAAGCACATGGCAGCTTGCGGGGACACCGGTTTCTTCTCACTGCCCCGTATTTCAGCTCATCTCTGGAAACGCTCCAGCTACGTCTACACTGGCAGGTTCTTGCGCAAGAACTCTTCCAGAAGAGAGCGTCTACACTGGCATGTGCTTTTGTGCAAGAGCATCGATGCCAGTGTAAACGCTCTCTTCCGCAAGAAAGCTCTGATGGCCATTTTAACCAGAGGGCTTTCTTGCACAAGAAATTCATGTTGCCTGTCTACACTGGCCTCTTGCACAAGAACACTTGCGCAAAAGGGCTCATTCCTGAGCGGGAGCATCAGAGTTCTGGCGCAAGAAGCCCTGATTTCATACAGGAGAAAGTCAGTTTACTTGCGCAAGAACACGCAGCCAGTGTAGGCAGGCAGCAAGTTTTTGTGCAAGATTGTGCCAGTGTAGACACAGCCTCCTTGTCTCACCAGTGCCTGACAACTGGGACTCTGACCTTCTTGTCTGCGTCTGGAAAGAAACATGTCCAGGCAGTAGAACATCTTCAGTCTTACATCAGCCGCTGATGCATTTTTAAGATGTGACCAGCTGGAATAAACAGTGGTGTGCTCAGCAAATGCACCTGCCTCCGAACTTCTAGGGCATGACACGCACCCCACCTCTGCCTGCTCTTTGCTGCACAAAGTGCCAAAACTCCAGACATGTTTTGGGAAACTGTGCTTGGACCTGACAGAGAGAAATAGGCCAAGGAGCTGAAAGGAGGTGGTATTTGAAAACAGGGTTTGCATGCTGTCCGTGAGTCACATCACTCATGTACTTCCACCTCAACCCCCCTGTAAACATAAGTAGAAATGTTTAAAAACACAACCCTTCTGCAGCTTTTGTACAACAGTGCAGTTGTCTCCGAGCAGGGATGTAGTACAGTTACTGATGTCTAGCTGTAGTTCTGGGTGTCTGATTTGCATAATCATTCTACAGTTATTTCCCCAACATCATGCCAGCCCCTGTACACTGTATTGGGTGACAACTATTAGCCTATCAGAGTGCAGGGATTTGCAAATTCTCACTGTGGTGATTTCTCAACTACCATGCTGTGACCAAGCAAACCTACACTCTGCCTGTATCACCCAATAGTCTCTTGGACTCCGAATTTTCAAGCTATTTGCAAGCAACAAAAATGCTTCTGAAACCTCTTGCTCTGGATTGGAACATCCTTGCCTCCTTTTCACACCCCCTGAAAGAGCCACAAAAATAACCACAGTCATGCCAAGAAACTGCGAGTGCCAAGCAGCAGAAAGGGCAGGGCTTAATCACCTGAAATTCATTTCTCTCTGAAGTTTTTGTTCCTGCCCCTTAGACCGCGAAGGCCAGAACTATGCAGTGGTTGGGTTTACATTGGGAATACTCTGACTTCATCCTTCCTGTGTAGTTTTGAAGTTTATTGCAAACAAAAATACAGTCCAGATAATCAGAGAAGAAATCGCAGGTCCATCAGAGGGGGCCAAAACCTGAAGGCCCTTTGATAGAACGATGGGTCTTGCAGCAGTCAAACAGACCCATTTAGCTGGATTGTTGAATTAAAAATGTCCGCATGACTGTGCCACAGCCCTGATCATGCTCCCCCTGGTGGGTACTGACCAGGCTGCCGTGTTTGGGCCCATGTGCTTCTGAGCTGGCCTTTGTCACTGGATGAGCAACTGTCACACGCTCTGGGTCCAGCCTCTCTGGCTTGCTCCCTAGGGACAGACCCTCTGTCAGATTTCCCTGGAAGAGGGACCCTGTGACCCAGCTGTGATCTCCAGGACAAATGCTTTTCCTAAGGGCTTCCAGCAGTTTAGACTTACCACTTCTCAGATTTCCACTCTTGTGAGCAAACCGACACGGGCTTGGCAAAGGGATTTCTAAAAAACCAATCACGGGCGCAAGAGAAGTCTCAGAGGGGTAGCCTTGTTAGTCTGTATCTGCAAAAACAACAAGAAGTCCTGTAGCACAGATTTATTAGCGCATAAACTTCCATGGGTAATTGATGGATGAGATAGATAGATAGATAGATAGATAGATAGATAGATAGATAGATAGATAGATAGATAGATAGATAGATAGATAGATAGATAGATAGATAGATAGATAGATAGATAGATAGATAGATAACAAAAGAAAGAAGTGTGGGACCAGTGTAACTGAAGCTAATCAAGTCAGGGTGGACGTGGCTCATTTACAGCAGCTGATGGGGAGATGTGAATATCAAGAGAGGGGGGAAAGGCCTTTGTAGTGCATTCACCAGTTTAAATCTTTATTAAGGCCTAATTTGATTGTATTGAATTTGCAAATTAATTGCAGTTCAGCTGTGTCCCTTTGTAATTGGGTTGTGAAGTTTTTTTGGTGGAAGGGTGGCTACTTTTAGATACAACAGAGATACAGATCTCAGACCAGTAATTCCATCCATGCCTGAGTTTCCTTACCACTCGGTGTTCTTTGGGATTTGCTCAATCCCCTCTCCTGGATTACCCTCATCTACTTCAGGCTTCTTCTCCTGTTCTTGTCAGGGAGAGAAGCTGCTGCTTCCAACTTAGCAGTCCGGCTCTTTTTATAACTTCCTGTCTCCTTTTCCATTTGACCCTCTGGTCAGCTACAATCACCCGGTATCCTCCTGTCAGGGGATCTGTTGCTTGATCATCACTTCTCTGGAGCCAAGACTTGAAATCCTGGTTTGCCCTGGGCAGTAGTCAGCTCTTTGTCCCTGACTCGTGCTTCCATTTGAACAGGAGACCGTCAGAGTTAACGATCCTCCATTGTTAGCCTCCTGTCGCCACAGAGATTGTGCAAAAGGTGCAGGGCAGCAAGTTTGTAGTTTGACGTAGGTACCCACAGAGCGTTCCTAGCGTCACACAGGATCCATAAATTGTACATCCTCGGTCATCACAACTGACCGTGCAACCAGTTAGCACCATAGGAATGGGCTAAGGCCGTGCCCCGTCCTCAGTACAGCACATGGGCTCGGGTCTCAAAGGTATTCAGGCTCCTGAATTTAGGGGCTTAAATGCCTTTGAGGATAACGGGCCAGAGATCCTCATTTCCAAGACTCACATCCTACCTGGAGATTTATGGCCCACTTAAATATAGCACAACATAAGCCTCGGTCTGAGTTTGACTGGCTCCCACGCGTTCCCTCTCGCACCCCCGCTGTGATTGCTTCTTTTCTTGGACCCAACAGAATACTCACCCTGCCCCCCTTAGTATCCTAGTCCAGGCTGATTGGCTCTACCTGCCCGCATGACTCAGTAGTATTTCCCTGAGTATGGAGGCAGCATGTTAGTACCGGGTCTCAGCAGAAGAGCCCAGTATTTCTGAGCGGCTCCTTAGAACTACACTCGGTCATGACCATGGCCTGGGCTAACACAGTCCTTAGCTTTCAGATTCAGTTGGTCTTCTGTAAATACGAAGAAGTGACTGTTCACTATCAGTGGGGCTCGTGATCCTAAACCACTCAGGCCAGTCTACACGGGAGGGTAAAGTCGAACTAAGGAGCGCAACTCCAGCGACGTGAACATCATAGCTGAAGTCAGCGTACCTCAGTTCGACTTACTGCAGCGTCCCCACTGTGGGGAGTCGATGGAGGAAACTCTCCTGACAACTCGCCTTATTCCTCACCACCAGGGGGAGTACCAGAGTCAACAGGAGTGTGATCAGTGGTCAATGTAGCAGGTCTTAGACCCCCTACGTTGACCCCCCAGGAGATCAATCTCCTGGTAAATGAAGTCAAAGTCTTAGATGCTTCTGATAATTGCTCCCCCTCTAACCGTTAGCCTCAGTGTGTATTCAGTCCAAGATGTGGTTATGAGGAGTAATTATAGTAATATAATCTTGTATTTATTCCTTTGCATGAAACAACAAGTAGCACTGTGTAATAGAGGAGGCACAAAGCAGTATGTGCCGTGCTCTGCGGTAGCTGTCAACCTGCCAAATCCACAGACGGACTCCACCACCGGAGCTGATGACCACTTCTGCTTTAGGTGTTGGGTTCCCGAATGCAACGGGCATGCCCCTCAAACTAAAATCCCAAGTGAACACGTTGCATAAGTCGTTCGCCGGCTGTGGAAGCGTGTCATGGCCAATGAGGTATCAGCTTCATCTGCCACTCTGCAAACTGTTCAACATCGAGCTCAGAAACTGTTCTAATCCAGGCAAGGAAGAAACAGCCTGAGGCGGATGTGGCACGCAGAGGAAAATACTGTGTTACTGAGTCAGCCTGTTGGCTGCCAGCAGGAAGAACCAGCTATTGAACAACAGCTGCATAGAAGGGTTGGAAAAATGTGCTCTATACTGAGTCATGTGAGGGAGAGGGAGCGTAGAAGTCCCTGTTAAAAATGCTCCAGCCTCCTGTGAAAAGGAAGGCAAAGGGAACTCTTCTCTCACTGCAGTTACTGTGGGTGACCCCCCGTTGCACTCCTCCCCGCTCTCTTGTGCACACACAGTCTGGCTGTTCCTGGATAAGCTCCAGCTACACACCCAGTGCCTGTTTGCTGAATAAGTATCATTGCACTGAATAGCTGGGGTGCTGAGAGCCACTGAACCAAACCCTCTATATAATGGAAACTACTTCAAGCACAGAGTGCAGTAGCATCCTCTGCATCCCCGTTTCCACGGCCTATGCTGTATAGTGACTGGTCCTCTTCCACTTGTGTAATACGGGGATTGCATGAGCTAGACCGAGAGACAGAGAGCCTGACACTCCTCGCAGCTGGTGCATCACTGGTGTATGGAGGATCAGAAATGAGGCTAGAGAGTCCGGTTTTGGTTTGAATTACCCAGTTCCAGCCACAAAACGGCACATAGCCCCAGATTGCTGGGTTATTCCATCGCTGTCGGCTCTGGTGCTCCTTGCACCTTCCTCTGACATATTGGGGAGGACCGTGGGTCTGAGCCAGTGTAACTGAGTGCCTTTGATACAAGAGCTTGAAAATGAGCAGCACATTCCCTGAGCAGGCCTTGTCCAGCAGCAAATGTCAGGTGGGACTTTGGAACAGTTGGTAAAACTGATCTCCATGAAACGTTAACCTGCAGCCCGTGCGTCGTTAAGCATAGCCTTGGGGTTGTTAACTCCCAGCGCTCCTCTCTGATCTCTTGTCCCTGGAGATGGAGAAAGTATTAGTGGGATTATTAGTAAATGCTGGTGGGATGAAATGTATGGAAACCATGGGCGATCACTTTTCACATAACTTGATCAGGAACAGAACACTTTACCATGTTCTTGGAGGGTGCGGACATCCCTGGTGCATCAGATTATGTTATGACTGTAAGGCTGTGTCTACACTGGCCACTCATTCCAGAAAATCAGCCGCTTTTCCGGAATAACTTGCCAGCTGTCTACACTGGCCCCTTGAATTTCTGGAAAAGCACTGACGATCTACTGTAAGAAATCAGCCGCTTTTCCAGAAATACTATGCTGCTCCCGTTCGGGCAAAAGTCCTTTTCCGGAAAACTGTTCCGGAAAAGGGCCAGTGTAGACAGCACAGTAGTGTTTTCCGCAAAAAAGCCCCGATCGCGAAAATGACGATCGGGGCTTTTTTGCAGAAAAGCGTGTCTAGATTGGCCACAGACGCTTTTCCGGAAAAAGTGCTTTTCCGGAAAAGCATCCTGCCAATGTTGACGCGCTTTTTCCGGAAATACTTATAACAGAAAACTGTTCCGTTTTAAGCATTTCCGGAAAAGGGTGCCAGTGTAGACGTAGCCTAAGTGTTTAGCTGATACCTGCAGATATGGGACTTGATTTACATGTATAATAGCCTCCAACTGCACCTAATAGCAGGATTGCTTAACAGGGACCAATGAAACTGAGAGTAAGGACAGGCAGACATGAAATTCACTAGGGCTGGGTTAATGAAAAGAAAAGGTGGTTTGTAACTTAATCTGACAGAGCCTAGAAATGTGCTTTTTCTCTCCTTGCAAGAATTTTGAGCGCAGATATTCAGTAGTATGACTTATCCAAGAGCTGATTTAAAGCAATATCTCAGTAATATTGAAATCCCATAGTGACGGCTACCTTCTTGAATTCCAAAACGCTAGGCATTACCATTGTAATGTGCCTCTAACTCTTAAACCTGCAACTGATTTGACTTGGCCAGTGAGCCCTAAAAAAGTCCCTGGGGTTTATTTTGCTTGTGTGAATTCCTGCCTTCGAAGGGAAGGAGCTGAGACATCAGTACACTTGCTAAGATTTTATTTTTATCAGTACACTTTGATTTCATCACACAGAAGAAAACATCTTTCCATCAATAATAATCAAAATTGACAGATAGGCAAAGAAAAAGGCTGCTTGAGAACTTATTTGAGTTTGATTGAAGGTTATTTACTTTATCTATTTTGATGTGATATTGACCATTTGTGTTTTAATGGGTTAAAGCTTTAACCTTTTGAATCTCAGTAGATACTGTCATGAAGGAAATGTCGGATGCCCAACATAATTTCAAACAGCTGAACATATAAATCAATACACATCTTTAAAATGCTTAAAAACAAACATTGCTATTATCCCTTAAATTATACAAAATAAAAATAGAATTCTGCCAATTCTAGACATTGGAAAGCTTTCAAAATTCCCCAAAGGGATGTCTTTTCCTTCCTTGAATTGCAAATCCATTCTCTTCAGCAAGTGGCTTGGTATTTACACTTTGAAGAGAGTTTGTTAAGCAAAAGATGGAATGTCTAGGAAAATTGCCCAGAGTACAGTGAAAATCTATCATTCTGCTATTGAAAATTATTTCAGGATTCAAAGGCCTCAACTTAATGTTGACTTGTCACATTGGCCTCTATTCTGCTGTTGCAGGAGAGGCTTTGGGATTGAACCGGCCCGTCCTGGTGCCATACAAACTGATCAGGGATAGTCCTGATGCTGTGGAAGTTACCGGTCTGCCAGATGATATCCCTTTTCGAAACCCCAACACCTATGACATCCACCGGCTGGAGAAGATCCTGAAAGCGCGAGAGCACATCCGGATGGTGATTATAAACCAACTCCAGTAAGTGTCAATAGCTCCAGTACCTCTGGGATGTTTTCGAAACATGCGAGTCTGGATCTTCATCTGGTGTAAACTGGCACCGTTCCGTGGGTTGCAACGGAGCTCTGCTGATTTACACTGGCTGAGGAACTGCTCCTTTGTGTCTTCTGTTCACGTTTGTAAGAATGCTCTGACCTCTCAGCTACCTGAGGATCCTGCCAGGCTACGGCTGGGGTCCTGTTCATATTCTTAGGAAACAAGATAAGGCAGCAGGTCCTTGTCTCTAGTAAACAACTGGCTAAATTTAAAAACAACACATAGTCTGGTAGCACCTTAAAGACTAACAAAACATGGAGACGGTATCATTAGGCTGACCGTACGTAGTGATTTTTCTGGGACTGTCCCAATTTTAGGACTCTCCCCCGGTGCCCCATCCAGGGGCAGATCACCATTGTGCGGGGCCCAGGGCAGCACAATTTCACGGGGCCCCCCTTTGCCACGGCGCATGCGCGGGGCTTCTTGAAGCACGGAGCCCGGAGCGACCGCCCCGCTCACCCTGCCCTATATCTGCCCCTGGCCTCATCAAGCAGTGAAATGTTCTGGAAATCTCCGCCGGACATTTCACTGTTGACGGGGACTCGGACTTGCAGGAAGAAGTGACTGAGTCCGTTGCTCCGGCACGGCTCCGTGCAGCAGCAGCAGCGTGCTCCCTCCCCCCGCAGAGCGCGTAGGCAGCTCCCTCCCCCCGCAGAGCGCGTAGGCAGCTCCCTCCCCCCGCAGAGCGCGTAGGCAGCTCCCTCCCCCCGCAGAGCGCGTAGGCAGCTCCCTCCCCCCGCAGAGCGCGTAGGCAGCTCCCTCCCCCCGCAGAGCGCGTAGGCAGCTCCCTCCCCCCGCAGAGCGCGTAGGCAGCTCCCTCCCCCCGCAGAGCGCGTAGGCAGCTCCCTCCCCCCGCAGAGCGCGTAGGCAGCTCCCTCCCCCCGCAGAGCGCGTAGGCAGCTCCCTCCCCCCGCAGAGCGCGTAGGCAGCTCCCTCCCCCTGCAGAGCACGTAGGCAGAACCCCAGAAAAGTAAATCGGACCTACAGGAAGCCCTGCATTAGGGACATTAGCAAAGGCTTCATGGGTAGTTAAGTAGAGTATCGACTACTTGCTTCCCTCCCACCCTTTAGCTGCCTCTATGAAAGGCAGCAATTTAACATCCTCACCTTGAACCTTATTCCTCTCTGTCCCATCCCCTCGCCCTGTGGAGCTGGGACACCACAGGAGGGAGGTGTCTCCTTTGGGAGCCAGATCAGTGAAGGTTGGGGGGGTTTGGAGGAATTTTTTTGCTCCTAACTTGTGTGGCCCCAGCTGATTTTTCTGTGGGTCAGTGGTCCCCGACCCAAAAAAGGGTTCTTCATCCCTGCCATAAGTAAAGAAAACGTGGAAACCTTGTGTGTTGGTCATAAAATAATATTTTACTTTATTTAAAATGAAGTTTGATAAACAAACACAAGAAACACTTGTATTAATAATTAAATATAATAATTTAAATTAAACCATTCTTCCTAGCTGCAGCACTAGCAGAATGGCTCAGGCGTCATTATCAGTGAGTTTCCATTAGCAACTGGTGGGCCGCGGAAAGGTTTACATTGAGCCAAGTGGTTCACGGGCCAAAAAGTGTGAGAACCACTGAAATAGAGGCAGCCCCGGCCTCTCCCCCTAGTTGATGCAATGCAAGTTGGATTAATGCAGTTGCAGTATAGTTGCATGGGAGGGTCCTTTGGGGGACGAACCCATCCCTATTGGCAGAGGAGAGTGAGAGGAGTTCTTAGAGGGATCACACGACACCCTTTACTTTTGGTCATGTGTCTGTCTTAACCCTGGAAGTACTACCTCCAGGGATGGGACTTTGTGACAGACGGGTGGTCGAAAGGATCAGGAGGTGTGGCTAATGAGGCCGGGGGTGTGGCTAATGTGTCCCTATTTTTGGTTCAGAAAATATGGTCACCGTAAGTATCATGAGCTTTCATGGATGCAACCCACTTCTTCAGATGACTGGAGTATGAGAAGTCCAGATCCAAGAACTGGCTAAGTGTCCGGGGAGCAATGTTGAGTAATGCCAGCTGGTGATCTGACCCGATTAAGGATCTGCTGATGTTTTCATTAGGCCATTGATCACCTTGCCAAGGAACTTTCAACCAAAAAATATCCTGGGGCCCCCTAGCAATGTGACTATTGTAATGAATAAAGAACCCTTTGTTAACTAAAAGCTTTGGTACAGCTACTGAGAAGCTTCCCAGGGGTACTCAAGCTGGGAGGGGTACCAAGGTAGGCTGGGTTGCAAGTGCTTTGGAGGATTGAATTATAATTCACAATGAGCTAGACAAATTGCAGAAATAGTCCGAGGTAAATAGGGTGAAATTCATTAAGGACAAATGCAAAGATCTCTACTTGGGAAGGAATAATCAACTGCATACATGCAAAATGGGGAGTGACTGTCTAGGAAGGATACTGCAGGAAGGGATCTAGGCGTCATAGTGGACCACAAGCAAAATATGAGTCAACAGTGTGACACTTGCCCAAAAAGCAAACCTGATTCTGGGCTGCATTAACAGGTGTGTTGTGAGCAAGACACGAGAAGTCATTCTTCCGCTCTACTCTGCGCTGATTAGGCTTCTGTTGGAGTATTGTGTCCACTTCTGGGCACCATATTTTAGGAAAGACGTGGAGCAATCAGAGAAGGTCCAGAAAAGAGCAACGAAAAAGATTAAAGATCTAGAAAACATGAGCTATGAGGGAAGATTGAAAGAACTGGGTTTGTTTAGTCTGGAAAAGAGGGCACATCCAGCTTTCAGGCATCTAAACAGGTTTTACAAGGAGGAAGAAAAATTATTCTCCCTAACCTCTGAGGATAGGATCAGAAACAAAAGGTTTAAATCGCAGCAAGGGAGGTTTAGGTTGGACATTAGGAAAAACCTCCTATTAGTGTGGTTAAGCACTGGAATAAATTGCCTAGGGAGGTTGTGGAAATTATGCTTTTCCCTCACTCCCTTGTTGCAGGAAGCAGGAAAAGGAACACCAGGAAGGAGCACTGCATGCCTCAAAAGTACCGTAAACCTCAGAATGACAAACACCTTGGGAACGGTCTCAACAAAACATTATGGTGGTTGTTTCAAAAGGTTACAACTGACCATTGATTGAATACAGCTGTGAAACTGTACTGTGCAGAAGAAAAACTGCTGTTTTTAACCATCTGAATCTAAATGAAGCAAGCACAAAAACTGTTCCCTTACCTTAGCAAATCTTTTCTTTTTTAAACCTTCCTTGGTGTTTTAGTAGTTTGCATTTAACACAGTACGGAATTGTACAACATTGTGGAGGGGGGGTTGGTCCATGTGGCCTGTTTGCCTACTTCCAGTTCTGAGTGTGCGCGCGCTTGACGGGTCAGTTTGTAACTCTGGTGTTCAGGAGCCTGTTTTCTCTCCTGGGCTTGGCTCCCTCATCCAGATCTGCTTGCAAAAGAAGCAGGCAGCTGCTCCTGTGCGAGACTGGAGGAAATACACTCACTCTCGGGCCTGGAGCTTTTACTTCTCTTAGGCCCCTCAGGTGGTCTCTGGGAAGATAAGATCCCAGGGAGATCGACACCAGACCAGTATGGGATCTCGGAGCCCAACAAAGAGTAAAGTAAGGAATTGCTTATGAGGGGTGGGGAACCTAAGGCCCATAGGACCGGATGTGGCCCCCCAGCTTCCCTGGATCCAGCCCCCGAGCCTCAGGGCTCACCCCCCAGGATTGGGGAACCCACAATGGTCATCCTGCAAGGCTGGAGCACACAAAGTCTAATAGCTCTGTTGGGAACGTGGGGCCTGTCTTTCTGCTTCTCAGTCAGGGCCACCTCAGTGAGGGCTGGTTTTTTTCTTGCTTCTCACTTGCATGCAGCCCCCGACTGATTTACCATGGGGTCGGTGGCCCCTGACTTGAAAAATGTTCCCACCTCGGCTTAGACATCCAGATGAGCAGTTTTCAGGTCCTAATGCTCTGTGCAGAGCCCTGGGTCTGCTGTGTGCTCTGCTCTAGCGGGAGAGCACTCTGGGCAGGCTGCCAGGGGAGACAGTCTTGTGCGCTGGTACAATCTCTCTGCTTCCAAACACATGTGAAACAGAGGAACCCCCCCTGCAGATGCAAGGGTTAAAGCACATCTGTGCCCGAGCGTTCGCAATCTCTAACCTCCATCTTGTTTCTTTCACAGACCGTTTGCTGAAATATGCACTGAGGCCAAACACACAGGTAAGCCACATGCTGGAGCTCTCTGTCCATTGGAGCAAGCTGCAGAGTGAAACCCTCACGTAGTGACACAGGAGGCTAGACTTCAGGGTTCGAAAGTCAGTAGAGCGGCTAGTTTGGTAGATGTTGGTCTTCCTAATCCTCTGGGATCTACCCAGGAAGGGAACCTCAGGCGTGGCTTCTCAGGGGGCTGTGGGAAAGGTCAAGAGGCTGTTGTTTTAGACTAGCATCGTCCGAGTAGCCTAGGGGGACTTGAATGCCCTTCCCATTCACTGTAACGGTGGTCGCTGAGTCCCTCCCTCAAGGTGGTTTTGAAAATCTCAGCCCGAATACCGTTTTTTACTAGGCAAAGATGGGATCATGTTGAGAGAAGTCTGTGCTCTCAACCCAAGTCCTACCAAACACGCTCCATTTCACCCAAGCCACCAGTGTGACTGGCACTCAGTAGCAAAGGACATTTAGAAAAAACCCACCTCTGCTAAAATTTCTTTCTAAAGAAAATGGAGCATGTTTTCCATTGCATGCCAGATTGTGAAGACCGGCCAGGCATAAGGTACCTAATTAAAAGAGCTCCCCATCCTGTGGCCACACCCATGTCCCACCCCCTCCCCACTGCCTCCCTCTTCTCTCTACTCACCCATTCCAACCAAATCCCTGAACCCAAAGGTAGCAAAGGACATTTAGAAAAAACCCACCTCTGCTAAAATTTCTTTCTAAAGAAAATGGAGCATGTTTTCCATTGCATGCCAGATTGTGAAGACCAGCCAGGCATAAGGTACCTAATTAAAAGCACTAAATTGGGGAATAAAAAATGTCTGTCTGTCAGGTTTTTTGATATAGCTGAAGTTTGTCAGAGATTTATTTTCAAAAACTTTTTAGTAAGATAAAGCCAGCTGCCCTGCTGAATACAACATGAAATATGGAATACATGCTGCAGCCTTTCTCTGTTTTACATTTTCATCAGGATTTCTGAGCTGATTTTTTTTAATGGACACTTAAATATTCATAAAGTAATCATTCCATGTTTCAGCTCCCCGAAACAAAGATATTATTTTAAATTAATCGGAGCAGTGTGGTATGTTCATAATAAAGTGAATTGCTTTTAGAAAAAGGGAACACTGTGATTTTCATAACAATTCCATGTTTTATGAAATGTCTCTAGATGTTTACGTTAAAATATATTTCCAACGTTTTTAGGCATATCAAAGGATTTTCTATCCTAGTAAGGTGATGATTTTGGTGGAGGGTTCTCTTAAAACGACAGGTTGTACCTCCCTAATCCTGGACTCTCTGGTCCTGCAACATCCCGGGTCTAGCAGGACCACGGATGTTCCTGGACCATATTGCCCAGGGAGAGGGAGATCTGGCAGCAGGGGCCAGCTGGGAGTCCCGTGGCAGCAGCGGGTGGTGCGGTGGGGATCTCTGGCCCCAGTGGCCAGGGAACTCCATCCCACCTGAAGCCAGGGAGTTCTGGCTCTGGCCCTGGTGCCACCGCTGGGCTGGAGCTCCACAGCCGCCTGGCTCTACAGACGGGGCAGAAGCTCCTCAGACAGAGACAGAGCCAGAGCCAGGGGGGCCATGGCTGGAGCTCTGTGGCTGGGGCTCCCTGGCCATTGTGGCACTCAGGGAGCTCTGGCCCCTACCCTGGCCATGGAGCCAAGTGACTGCAGAGCTCCAGCGCCCAATGTGGAGCCAGAGAGCTTCAGTCCCAGCCACAGAGCTCCAGTTGTGCCCCAGCAGAAGCTGAGCCAGTGGTGGCAGCTAGCTAGACAGTCCCGGGGGCTGGGGCAGCAGTAGCCCTGGTCGGCAAATCCCCTTGTTTGGGACCAGTCAGGTCCCGAGGGTGCCAGGTCCAACCAAATAGTCAGAAATAAAAGGGAAACTAATTTGTCCAGCTCTCTGGAAGAAAAGGAATGTTATTCCTTTAAGGGCTCTCTTCAACT